TCGGCTTTGCAACTGTTGTAAAATTCTTTAATATGATTGGTTTATACATTTAGATCCGTGAAGAACTAAAGGCAAGAATCAATTATGTTGAAGAATCTCACAACAGTTGCAAAGCCGTTTTCTCTGCTGAACGCAGCCATTTGCAGTGCTGCCAGTACTGCAAGTGAATATCGGAACGCACCCCAAGTTGAGTCTCCTGAGTCTCCTCTACCCTTTGAGTATATTGACATGGAGGGGGAATGTTGGCTCGAAAACTGTGTCCAAGATGTGTGCGAGAGAGAAAGGTAGAGACGAGTAATGTTCGTCCTCTCTGCGCATGCGTCGATCATTTAACAGACAGAGAGGACAAAGTATCACGTGGTATCGCTCGTATACTTTTCTCTCTCGCACTCCTTGCCACTCTTGGACTCGCTTGCGGCCTGCAGAGAACAAAGGCATTCCACCTCCAGGTATCTATATACTCAAAGCCTCTACCCTTATTTCGTGAGCAAACCTGACACCTGGCAATTGTACACGGAACATTTTTCGTGACCACTTACAATCTATGGAGTTATACGTCTTTATTCTTACTTCATGACTAGTGTGAAGTAGCGAGCTTTGCAGCTTGCTTTCTGTGTGACTGTGAAAATAAATTTATGTATGTGTGATCTAACCTAGAGCTTTTGTATTGGAATAGCAAAATATTAAACAGCAGTTTTGTTAGAAAAATGGTTAACTATTGTTGTGTTTGCAAATTAGAAGCAGGACAAGAAAATGATATATCTTTTCATCGGTGAATATCTTTATACCATGGAGGTAAGAAAAACAGGAGGGAGCATATTCCCCCGCGGCCTGGTTAACATTACAAAACGCCATATTACTGTGGCCAATCAATCACATTCGGCGTAGTAATCCCCACCAACAAAAGGCCTTACACTCCCTCCTGTTATTTCTTACCTCCATGCTTTATACATACATACATACATACATACATATATATGTATATATTTTTTTGCGGGTGAGTATATATATTACTCACCCGCAAAAAAACCGGGCACCTAAATTTTAGCTCAAATTTTTAATATCTTTCAATAGCGGTAACTTATATGAAAAATCATCGTATCGAGATGAACCTAAGCTTAAATTAAAGCTTGAATATTCTATCCTTGATAACTAAGAAAATTGAGTTCCAGAAATGCTTTATAAAATAGCGGACGTTGAAGACAGGCTTAGAAAAATATGACAAAAATTTTTTCTTTAAACTATTGCGCTAGTTAAGGAGGTCGGCTGCCTGGCATAAAAATTTATTAGTTTTCAAATTTATTAATTTTGATCCTAACGTACAAATCCATTTTTTAATCACTTTTTTACAATTTTTTTTGACAAAGTTATTCATCTCAATACGATAATTTTTCATGGAGTTACCGCTATTGAAAGATATTAAAAATTTGAGCTAAAATTTAGGTGCCCGGTTTTTTTTGCGTGTGTGTGTGTGTGTGTGTGTGTGTGTGTGTGTGTGTGTGTGTGTGTGTGTGTGTGTGTGTGTGTGTGTGTGTATATATATATAAATGTCTACATTTGGATCTAAAAATAATATATGATAATATAGAAATTAATTTAAATGTAATCGGCGCGCAGTTTAACGGCTGTACATGGAGTTAACAAAATTTATATAAAATTCGTTAGGCATCTAAGATCTAGCCTTAACCGCGAAAAGGCGCTTTCGAATTTAATTGTGTTTACATAGGCGGTCTTATTCAAATTATAACTATTATTTAACTTAAACGTATTTTTAAGATTGCCAAAAGATGAAAAAATAAGGGCAAATTGGTTTGCATTTATTGGACGTGAAACAACTTTAAACATTCACGTCTGTAGCAAACATTTTACTCAATTTGACTTTATTTATAAATTACGTGGGCAAAATGTTAGAAGATTCCTTAAAGAAGGAGCATGTCCATCTATACTGCAGACTCCCCAAAATAGGTAGTTTTTATATAATATTATAAAATTGTATAACATAAATGCTTTTTCAACACAGCATACGCGCTTTTATGTAGAATATTACATATTTATATTTTATGATTCAGAGAAAATGCAGACATCATTCTTGAAAATAAAAATATTAATATTTCTACATCATCAAAAGCTAAAAGTAACACTAATCCAAAAACAAATTATATAACATCAGATAATGAAAGTCAGGATCACATTATAGATGAGGAATATATAAAAGTAGAAACTACAATAAGTACAAACAGTTCAATAGATACTCAATTAAAAAGGTTAGTTTTCACGTAATAAATATTTAATCATTTATATAAATTTTTAAGAATGTTTTTAATGTTAGTATGGAATGAATGGTTTAAACTTGTTATATTTTTAGGGAAACTGATGATTACTCATCATCAAAAGCTAAAAGTAACACTAATCCAAAAACAAATTATATAACATCAGATAATGAAAGTCAGGATCACATTATAGATGAGGAATATATAAAAGTAGAAACTACAATAAGTACAAACAGTTCAATAGATACTCAATTAAAAAGGTTAGTTTTCACGTAATAAATATTTAATCATTTATATAAATTTTTAAGAATGTTTTTAATGTTAGTATGGAATGAATGGTTTAAACTTGTTATATTTTTAGGGAAACTGATGATTACTCTGTTTGTATCACCAAACGCAATCGAACAATAAGATACCCTGGAGATTTAAGACGAGAAGATTTTAATTCAGATAAAGCTTGGTGTTTGTTTACAGATTTTAAGACAACAGCGGATGAAAAAATAAGGTTTTTGAATAGAAAAGTTAATCATTTAAATAAAAAAATGAAAAGTATGCAAAAAATAATAAATCATCTGAAAGAGATTCTTTCCAATAATACAATACGGGTAAGAAAATCTTGTAGTCGCAAAAGGGAAAACAAGAAAGTCTCGAAACGCGATGTCCGAAAAAACATTAATATTGCTAAGCGAAGGTCCATAGTGATGAGCTGTTAGGGCCAATGAGATAGCGGTAAACAAACTTTTTGACGAAACCGGAGCAGATCGGAGCAGCTCCGGTAGATCGGTTGCGAATTGCAAGTCGTTTAGACGTGCCATAAGAGTAACAAAATAGTTTTTTACGCTTCTGTGTAATTTCTGCATATTATTTCTCATATTATAATTTAAAATATTAATAATAAAATATAATTAATCAAAATTAAAACAATATTATATGTGTATATTTTTATTGTAATATTAAATATATATAACGAAATATGAAACTTGTAATGATTAAAAGAAAACGTTTTTATTAATAAATTTATTAATTCTTTATTAATATTATGATTAATGTTATTAATGATTATCATATATAATTAATATCAATCCTATTTATTAATAAAAATATTAATTCTTTTGTGTCATTGTTTTCGAACACATTACAAAATATTCATTTTATTGTTATTAATTATTACATAATCTTTATTTTTTAAATACGTGATACTTTCATATTGTATCTATAATTTATTATTATAATCACTGCAATTTTTGTACCTAAACTCACTATATTTTGATTTTGAAATGAAAAGACAGATTTTGCAATTAATGTGAATAGGAAAGGAAAGTCACTCGTTTCTATATATACTGTTATGAATCTTTATTTTATTTGTTAACGGATTAATATCGCGCTTCTATTAAGCTGTCCGGCAAAATAGATTGCAAATGTTAACATCGCTGGATCATTCGATCGTCGCATTTATTTAAGCGCAACATCGGCGCAATCGAGATATTAATATTTACGATATATTTCGACGTGCATTTCGCGTAATTTTTTTTGCATTCGTATATATATAGAAATGCATCGTGTAATGCATACAGGAATGTGTATCAGGGAAGATTTAAATATGCGATATATCACACTCTACATCACCCACGCGCATGCACCTGCTTCTCTTTTCGATCCTCTTGTATGTATATATACTGTGTGTATGTGTGTGTGTGTGTGTGTGTGTTTCATAAATATGTATGTATATACACGAATGAAAGTAATGCAACCTCTATTAGTAAGTAACGTCATGGAATGAGATTATTGGGTCCTCAATTATATACAATATTGTGGAATCGTACTGTCCACGAGCGAATTAAACGATGCAATTACAAACGACGTGGCGGGTCGAAAAATCGGTCGAGAATGGAGCGAGTCCTAATAGTATAAAAGTTGTGCGTAGTCGCTTGTATAATAGACATTTTGGCACAGTAATCGGCAGGGTCGGTTTACGATGCGATGTGACGCTCAATTTCCTCTCGCGAACGACGTATCTCACAGTGCGTATACGCTGGATACAAAAAAAAATCGCTCGTAACGCGACAAAAGACGCGTGTATATACGTGTAAGTTTTTAGTCTCGAATAAACGAATGTACGAGACTGTATTTAGAAATCTCTCGCCCTAAGGGCAAGCTCGATAAGCGCTGGGGGCTAACGTGTGCCTAAAAGTAAATATCGCAAAAACGATTTTACGAGTAGAGTTTATCTCTCGCGTCGGATCGATTAAGTATTAATACGAGACTTTCTTACGTTTATCTAGTAGACCATGCAAGTTTGAGAGCGCGTGTTTTTGCGGAATCCGCATATTAAATTAAAAGAGGTATGCTTTAGGACCGAGGCTTTTTCCTTTTAAAGATCTATATATATATACTATATGTATATCTGCAATTGCATAATTATATAAGATGTCCCGGATTTACTTAAGATTAGATACATCCAGCTGATGATCGTACATTATCGCATCTTGAGATTACACTTAAAATAATTTTACCAAGATAGCTTACCCATGTCTGCAAAGACAGATTTTGAGCAGAGTATGCTATCAATTTTTGATGGCAGAAAAGCAACAAATTTTACACAGAGTAATACTTGACGATGTCGGCAAACTGTCGCTAGAGATAAAGTCTGCTGGCATAGAACGTCAGGTTCTGTCGACAGATCTCGAGCTTAATGTGGATTCGGATTATTATAGATTTGCATTAGGGAATCTGATCGAATTTGCTGCCAATCTGCCAGCAAGCTGCATTTTGCAATTTGAATTAAATATAAGATTGGATATTCTCGAAATTGACGTTCTACGACTCACTTTCACTACTGTGCGATATGCTTTGCCTAAACGCGTGAACTTCGGACAATATTTCATTGGCCAACTTTAAATGTTTTTCATTTATAAAAACTTATAGTCTTGGCATTTTAGTATTAGAATTTTCAACTCAAAATGATCTCGAGAGTCTGTCATTAACAGTGATATAATAAGTATCTGATACATCCTGTATATCTATACAACGATTTCTCACGTATCTCGCACATATAGATGGAACAATTGCGTCTTTCTTAAACGTACATTTTTCGCTTTTACAACCTAAATATGTCCTGCGGCACATGTGCGCATATACACTGACAAACATACACACACACACACACACACGCGTACAATAATTTTTATTAACACGATACTTTAATACTCGTTCGCTTAACATTAGGGAAAAGAACGCTCTCCTCTGTTAATGGATAATATCATGATAAGATGCAACGATCACATTCTATGTATCATCGTATAAGGGATCAATATCAATATTACGTGATGATAATTAAGCGTGGTAAAAAATTCACAAGAGACGTTTCGATCTTTCTCCTTCCACATTACACTTTGCTTCAAATCGGCAAGAATCGCGGACTCCCCACGATCTACTTCGCTCATCCTTATTATTATACATAAATCTTTTTTTTTTACATATATATGTACACGCGTTTGTCGTTATATAAAAGAGCAAATACGTCTTCGATACGTGATTATATACTTCCGTAGTGATTTAACGTCTACGAAAAATGTTTTCATTACAAAAAAGTTCCTCCCTCCCTCCTCCCCCCAAAGAGTCCGCAGGGCAAAGTATCTCGATAAATAATCTTGCATTGTTAATCCTATTCAATTGAACGACGAGATATATGTAGAGTTCTACGTTCTCAGTCAATAACGTTAAAAATGCGACTGTGATTGCGCGTACAAATTTTCCGTGGTAGATTTTACGTTGTGATTGTTAACGCTTCATTCGATTAATACAATTTCAATTTTTATAGTAAGAAAAAATTTTAGAGGAGTATCACATGACGGGTCAGAAGTTGAGATCAACTCAGAATTTCCGTAAAATAACGGACATCAACTTGTGCGGCAAAATAAATTCGATCTATTCGCTAAAGATTATCCTTTAAGAATAAATTTTTATACGCGATCAATTCCATCGTCCGGCATAGAAAATATTAGCTGCATAAATATACATAATAGATATAATAAAAGCTGCCATTTGGAATTTACTGAGCTAAAAGATCTACCTGCTAATACATTTTTCTAGTAAAACGTATTGTTGTGTAACAGGAACTACTCTGGAATCGTTTTTAAATTAATTTTTATGAATTAATCACAGATTAAAAGACATGTCGTGCTTAGTGGAAAAATATTATAATGGACGTTATCTTTTCGAACGAATACGTATGCACGAGATGTCATTGCTGCAAATTGTTGTACGATCTTGGAAGACACTCATGCTTCTTTTAGGTAACGTATTATCCTATTTCAGTCGCCGTTCTTAACATCTTAATGCGAAAACGATTTGGCATGTTTCGCTAAAACTGTGATGTGTCTTGTCCTATTTTCGCTGTTCAAACGCGTAGACAAACAATATATAAGTATGTACATAACGAAACGGATCTTCGAAGAATAGAGAGAACGCTTTTGCTAATATTCTTTAAGTGGTATCGTAACGTACCGCTTGTCACACACATATAAGGGAATGAAGCTTAATCTCACTGGAAGTGTCAAGTATCTTAATAAAAAGGTCGAGATGCGCGGTTAAAAAATAATTGGTCTTCGTACATGAAATATATGATGAAGCGTATATGGGTAATAATACGTGAGTACGTGACTAAGTCGAAACTTACGGTTGCGTGTAAACACGCGACGTCATATATAAAACTAGTATAAGATTCTCTAATGCCACCTTAACAACAGATTAGTACTTTAGTTGTTGTGAAAACTTTCAGTACCCTGTCTCTAATGTTAAAACCCAGTCGAGGTGTATTATATATATGTATATTTATATACACGATAAAACTTTCCATGGCACGAAGACGAAGAGTACTGTTATCTTGTTATCTCGTGTGCCAGATAGCCGGCATCTCTTTCAGCATACGGAAGAAAATACCTCTTATGCAACGCTGCAATCGTCCAAGTGCGATTAGACATCCACCACGTCGTTGTTGTTGTAATTGAAATTTGAATCGCGCAAGAATGACGTGCGACGAAGCTTAAAACTAAGACGGCTTTCCTCAACCGTTTTCGGCACTTCCGTTACCTGCAAAGCAGCACAATATGGAGTTCTTATTTATTATAAAATATATATACAATATGAATTTATATTATGAATGAGAAATTATTTATTTACATAAATATATAACATTTTAATAAGATATTAGTTGCATTTATTAAAATTGTAATTATTTAGCTTACACAATATGGGACAGAATAACTATAAAGTAATATAATATTAATAAAGCATATTTATAAAAGTGGTTTATGTCAAAAACTATTCATTGTAATAATTAAATAATGATATTGCATTCTGTCTAATTTGGAGTTATAATACAGTAACATGGGCGAGCAATAAAAAAAAATATATTTCAGATGTGACAAAAAGACATTTCTCGCGTGGAAAAAAATAAAATAAAATATACATAAAATACCTTAGCATCTGCTCGATCGACAGAACGTTGAAGTAGCGACCGCCATGCTGCAGGTGTGGCATGCTCTAAAATAATATGTAACAGGCGTGGCTTGTACATCAAAGGAATTTATGTACATGCGTTTTAGTGCTATATTAAGGAATGAAAGGATGCGCATATCAATGTCTAGGATCGAGAAATGTATCGGCAAATCAACTAAGAAATAACCATGCAACACAAAGAAGCAAGTAACCGGACAACACTTACCGTTCTCCTTCCTGTCCGTCTTACTTTTGTTCAAGCTCGCTGCCAATTCCCTCACCGATCTTTTCTCTACGCTCGTGTTGCTCAATGAGCTCGCAGTGCTGCTTGCCGACAACGTCGGCGGCAAGGAGGCCGGTCCGCTGACACCGCTGTCGGTCGACTCATCGAGAGCGTCGCCGGAATCAGGCGTGTTGCCGGCCGAGGTGTTCGGACTAGAGCCATCGCTCAATAAACTGAATTCTCCTATAAAATTAAATAAAGTCAGGTTTAATAAAATCAGATTCACATCTATCGTAAGCGAAGATTTCCTATAAAGAAATGATGGATGATAATCCATCATTTCTTTACACTAGATTAGTTTTCTTTACGGACGATGACAGTTTTGTATCAAATGTCTTCCCGAGATTTTCTACAAATTCTCTACAAATTCTCCACATAAATAATATGAAATTCACAAATACAGATAAAATAATATACAATATATAACAATTTATAATTATGCGTTGAACACCACGCACCTTCCATGAAAAAGTTAATTCTGAGTGTGAAATCCCTTACCGGATTTTCGGTCGGTGGCCATGCTCCATGGTCGTGGTTTAGGCGCTGTCGCTGGTGGGGTAGGCTTATTCTTCATAAGTGAGCCGTTACTCTTTCCGTCGCTCGTTGACCCGCTACTCTTCAACGGTTTCAATACGGGGGACTTGGCTGAATCGGATGTGCTCTTGGTACCGCTGCTGTTGTTACCGTTTATCGGACTTTTCAAATCGGTCGACCGTAGCTTGACGGACGAGGATGACTTATCCGCGTCGGCTGCGGACTTCTTCGCGACATTTTTACGATTCTCCTGGTCCCTCTCCGATGTGCTTGCTCCGAAAGTGTCGTCGATGTCATGCGAGTTACGCGGACTCATACCGGATATGTTTGTCAGCGTGCTGCGTCTAGAATCGTCGCTCGCGTCGTTCGCAGTGGCGCTGTTACAGGTCTCCTTCGCGAAAGTCTCGCCTTTGGACCTCTCGTGAGCTTGAGCGCTGTCCGTAGTATTTCTTCGGGCGAGCGGTGATGCGGTAAGCGGAGAATCACCTTGTGATCTTCTGCCAACGAGGGGGGAAAATTTCTCCAAGTTGTCACTGGAACGTGAGCGTGGCGCGGGTTCTAAAAGCGTCTTCAGCATCGGCGAATTACAGCTGTGCTTCTTATCCATATCGGGTGGAATGCTCTTGTGACTCGTCAGCGATAAATTAGGACTGCCATCCGTTGGGAAAGTATGTAGAGAGCTGCAAGTTACAAGTACACGTTTTATAATCCACACGTTGACAAACAATAGAAGAACTAAAGGGAGAAGAAACATACTGTGACAGAAGTAGAATACTTTTGCATGAGAATACGAAGAGTCGATACGAAAGAATGTGAATTATATTTACCTGTCGTCGCTCGTAGGCGATATCAAAGGCGTGGTAGGCGTGGTAGGTCGGAAGAACACGTCGAGACCCTCGCCCAGGGCGAGACCGTCGATCGGTTGATCCGGTCTTAACATCGGCCTTGTGGGTGCTCGCGTTTTCGTTCTGCGCGGCCTAGACTTGACCAGATGCTGCAACTGCTGGCCCACAGTGTTAGGCAATTCCGAGACGGAATCTAACGACTCTGTCAGTGAATGCTCGGTTTCTGAAATAGCTGCAAAGCACCAATAATATATCTTGCAACTTCATAGATTCAAGACGGAGTAATAAATACGAACCTTCCGCTTGACTCTTCGGCAATGACGGCAAGAGATCCGGTATATCATCGGCGGACAATCCTTCTACTGAGTCCACCACGGACTTGGGTCTCAATTTCCTTCCGTGTAGACTTTTACGCTTGTTTGACAGATGTGGCGTCGCCTGAATAAAACGAGAATTAAATGAAATATTCTATAGAATATTGGTATACATAAATATGATTAATCATATTATAACATTGTGAAATATTTTATAACAATTGTTTGCATCTCTGTATATCTTTGTAATACCTACCAAATTAAGATAATCCAATTTCTATGTGAGCGTGTAAATAATAAAAATAACGAATATTTTAAATGCGTATCAAACGAATTTAGGTGGAAATAGTTATATATAATCAGGATTGGAAAAATGACTTTAAAAATAATTAGCTTTTTTTCCTCTAAAAATTGTAACGAACTTACTCGTCCGTTACAATTTACTGATTCTGAAAAATAACACATTACAGTTACAGTTACTTAAGAAGGAATGAGTCGTTACTGTTAGTTACTTTTCTGTTAATCTTTTGTGTAATCTTTTGCATTGTTACTTTAAATATCTACAAGAATCTTATACAATTTCTAACATTAAATTACTTTACTTATTATATTAAACATTCGGTTATATGCTATATTATTTTAATTTATATATAATAAATCACAAAACATATTTTTATTTAGAACTTAAGAATATATTAACTAATAAATTAATAATTTATAATAAATTAATGTATACACTTGTGGAATATCAAAATTATGAGATTGATTTTAAGTTTATATATATATATACATATAACTCAAAATTGTCATTTTTTTTTAATTGATTGCAAAAAAGAATGGAATCATAAAAAAAGGACACACTTTTATTTTTCTACAATCTTATTACATCAAAATTGCGTTTTAAGATTAATATTCCAAAATTTTTATTCATACTCATTATTCATAACTCATTTTTTAGATAACTTTGTTTTTTAAACTGTGTCGTTTCGATAAAAAGTGTGTCCTTTTTTTATGATTCCATTCTTTTTTGCAATCAATTTTTAAAAAATTACAATTTTGAGTTATGTTGTTGTAGAAAATGAGTGATATTGACAAATAAGTTTGAAGTATAAAACTGTAACTATTATAAATTAATTATTGGTTATAAAAAATATAACTAAATTACGTTACAGTTACAGATAGAAAGAAAAAAAAACAAAGTTACATACAGTTACTGAATAAGAAGTAACTCTAACTTCGTAACGAGTTACTTTCCAATCCTGTATATAAACTATGTATATATGTTTTATATATTTTTTAAAATAACCGTTTTAAGATTGTCAGATATTAAGCTGTTAAAGAATTCTAAATTCTTACCATTGGTGATTGATCGCTAATGCCAATGGAATCTGCCAGCGAACATGTCTCCGGCGGACAATCCTCTTCGGATACGAGGCTAGCTCTGCCAGGAGGTAAAGTCATGGAGATACCGCTCGCGCTAGTTACGCCTATCACACTTCCACTACTCATCGAGCCAGCACTAGGTCGTAAAACATCTGGTGTGCTGCTCCTTGTTCGGCTATCGCAATCACCAATCTGGAAGTATATTGTAAAAGAAGTATTATCGGTAAAGATTACTACAACTGTCCCTTTCTAAAAATAACAAGAATTTACTCGTTTAAAGATTCATTTGTCAAGTTTCAGATTCTAGATTTTTTGTATAACTTATAATTTTTTGGGAGGTAATGAATTAATGAATATTGATAGAAAACATTATAAAAGTTCAAGAACTAATCTTCTGCTTAAAATTAAATTTCTTTGATGCTTTTCATTAATAATAATTAGATATTTTCTGAAGATTGACGATATATGTATATATACAGGGTGTCTCATAATAGGTGTATCACCGTTCATGGGTAGGTAGAACGGACTAAACTGAATCGAAAAGTCCTCAACCATTTTGCAAAATTCGCAATCGTTAACAAGATAAAGATCGGAAGAGCACACG